GAGAGAGAGAAAGAGAGAGAGAGAGAGAGAGAGAGGGAGAGAGAAAGAGACTGAGACAGAGACAGAGACAGAGAGACAGAGAGGGGATGGGGAGGCAGAGTAGACGCAAATAAATTAGCGAGAAACATGCACGAGTGAAGAAAAGTTAGAGTTTGAACATTATACAAGACAAGCAGTCAGGAAACAAAAAAAACAAAAACCCAAACAAGTTCATATAAAAGGGTATCAAAACCTTTCACTGTCCAATTTTTCTCATCCTAATGAGATGAACAAATAAAAGCAAAACTTTCATTATAGTGATAAATATTACAATAACCAAATTAATGGAGGAAAAGAATTAGAAAAAAAAAAGATTTCATCAGGTTCATACATTGCCACGGAGCGGGTTTCAGTGAGCCGGAACATGCGGAGCTTTACAGCACGTCGCTTTGTGTAAGAGTAAGAGAAAAGCAGTGACCAATCAGAAGCTGCATTCAGCACGATGGCAAAAAGTAGAAGGCCACGATTGGCCAGAAATGCTTTATCATGATGCCTGCTGGCGTGACACAGCAGGGCCGCGCGGCCTGGTCGATTCCAGTAGAAAATAGATCTATGAGGCCTAGTTTCGTTATTCATACAAGCGGAACGACTACACCGGGATCATTCAGTCTGTTCATGTTGTTGGCTCAGGAACGTGTCTGACGAATTTCCAGCATGTAAAACACGTGAGAGGTTTGTATTTTGTATTTTTGAAAGTTGTCAAATATAAAGGAAGTAATCGTCTTGACCTAAGATCTTGTTTATTTTGTGTATTTTACCGATAGAAGTACAGAACAGACGTCCTTGCTGAATCTCGCCGGTTGCGCTGTACTGTAACACTGGCGACAGTGAGTGAGCGTTGTTGGTTGTGCAATGTGTAGTGGCTTAGTAAAGGATGCGACAAAGGGTTTCATCTTCATTTACTGGAATGGTTTGTAATTGTGTAGCTTTGCTTTTGGTTTTTATCTTTCAGGTTCTAACTGTCTGGATCTATAAATCTAGATTAGATCTAGAGTCTAGATCTAGACTATTATAAAAGTTGGCCTTGATAGGGTCGAGCTTTCTAGATTCTAGATAAAAAGAAGCCAAAAAAGAATGTTGTTTGATGCGTCCCCGTGCGTAATCGTAATCACAAGAAGAGAAGCTTTATCTAATCAAGGCCTAGCCTATCGGTTGACAGTTACAGTAGGCTAGGCCTAACAGTCGAGCCAGTGAAGGCTAGAATCTATTCAGCAGTGACAGTAGACGTCAATGCTATTCATTGTGTCTTCAACGTCTGTTGTCAACAGAAACAGTGGACAAATTGGACTAGGATCTAGATCTAGATCTAGATTCTAGATCTAGATTAGATATCTAGAATCTAAATTCTAAATCTAGAGATCTGGGCCCTGGGCTAGGTTAGAGTCTCTAGTCTCTAGAATCAAGTGGATGATCTTCAGTGTCTGAGCATCCTGACTTTCTGATCGGTCTTTTTATCCTATTCGTGCGTATCCTATTTGATGAATTATGATTCGAATTATGATAATGATAGCCTCCTATAGCCTACTACTCAAGCAGAAATGCGCTTTTATATTTTATTAGATCTAGATTCTATATATATGGCCGGCTCTATTTCTCCGAACGTTCGCGAAAATAAACTTTAGAACTCTATTCTCCGAACGTTCGCGAAAATAAACTTGAACTCTATTTTTCCGAAAGTTCGGGAAAATAAACTTGAAATCTATTTTCCGAACGGTTTGCGTTCTCAAGATTTGTTGATAATAATTGCGAACAGAGTGGCCTGTGTATCAGTGTATGTGTGTGTGTAAGGTGTGAACAGGGGTGACTGGGGGTGGGGGGGTGTGGGGCCTTGGAGGGATTTTTTTTATTTTATTTTTTGCTTTAGGCTTTAGGGGTGACTAAATGCAAAATAGGTTGACTGCCAAAGTTGAGCAGTCTTGTTTTCTAGCTCGCAACTTACCTTTTGAAGACATTTTCAAATGAAGCATAGTCTGGGAACGTTGGCCCAACTACAATTGAAGTAGGGCCTCTATCTGAATATTCAGACATCTGAAAATCTCTAGCTCTAGAAATTGAATTCGATGCAAAAAAAAGAAAAATGCTTCTTCCCAATCCTTGCAGAATATCAGAATTAGCACTTCGAAGTCTCGCAAATATTAAATAACCAAAAAATCTCGAGAATGGATACCGTTAGGGCATTGATGTCAAGTTTATTTTCCCGAGCATTCTGAGAAGTAGTCATGCTTTGGACCAAACGGGGGGTTTCAAAGTGGATCAATCGGGGGTTTCAGGGGGGCCGGCCCCCTGGGATAAAAAAAATCTGGCCCCCCCCCCCTGTTCCCATAATTTGATATTTTACAGTTTTGAATTTTTCTTGAAAATAATTGATTTGCGACAGTTTTGGTGGCTTTATGTGTGATCTGCAGCAAACAATACTGCAGACTGCAGTTTGACCCCCAAAGCGGTGCATCTGTGTGCAGGAGTGAAAGTAAAAATTTATCATTAGTTTCAATGGTGAAATCTAAAAGTCTACTATCCGCTTGCTACAAAGTACTAATGTAATAAAAATATAGAGTCTGGTAGGCTAATCAATATGACAGATTCTCTATATCATTATTTTCTCTAAGTGTAACTTTTGTAACAGTCTCTGAAATCACGCTCTTGCTATATATTAAAAGGTATGTTATGTATCAGGACGGGCTTACTTCTTTTGACAGTTTTACTTTTAAAAACTGAGAAAAAAAAACCTGCATAGAAATAGAAATAGGTTTTAAATTTTCGATCATTTTTATTTCTATGAATAGGACCTACCTCCTGCATGAGATAAGCCTACATTTTAATTTTATTGTTGTTCTATTTCTTGTTAGTCAATGAGCAGACCCATGCCAACTAACGGACAAAATTGTTTGGATATTATTTTTTTTTCTAAGTTCCCTCCTGTCTTAAAGCTTGTCTCCTTATGCTTGACGTCACATCGCGTGTTCCTTGCCGCTCTAAAATTTATAAATCAAGCAAGATAATAAGGAAACTGTCTCCTATATACACGACATGACGTTAAGTCACGCGCGACAGTGACACTGTCGCCTGTGATCGGTCCATGTAGCGATCGAGGGTCTCGTTACGTGCGACAAACTGGGGGTGTAACAGGTTTATAAAGAGCATCACCGTTTGTCAAAATGTCTAGCCAAGGAGTGCCGTTCGACACGCTGTGTGTGATGTGGTGTGATGTCTGTGTCTGTGTGTGTAGTATGTTCATCTGCAATTCGAATCAATGCCAAGTTTTGTGAATCTAATCTTGTTGTTTTGTTGTTTTTTTAACGGACAGCAGGAGGAGTAGGAAGAGGAGGAAGCGGAGGAGGAGGAGGTGAAGGACTGGCACGGAATTGGCCGTGTACGGAATAAAAAATGTCAGCGGCTCTTTAGAACTCCCATCAGACATTAAAATTTGCTACTGTACTGTCTCTCTTCTGTGAATTGCCAGTCGCGTAGCCTAAACGTCGCGTCGCGCATAAGGAGACAGTTTTGTCGTGACTGAAATTTTTGGTGCGATGTGGTCGCGCATAAGGATACACGCCTCGCGACTAATCACTAAGGACTGTCGTGCACGACTAAGACTAAATGTGGTGTCACGCATAAGGAGACATTATAGGCTTATGCTCAGGTATTACACGTTTGTTATTTTATGTTTTACATGAATTTTGACTTGGCACATCATTAATTATTAGTTTTTTAGGTATTTTGTGTTTTTATTCAAACTGTACTAGGCCTACTCAAGGCGTAAAACAGTGAATTAATATTCAAGCAGTGCATCTGGGGGCTTCAGGGGGGCAGGCGCCCTTATTTTTCCCTTATAATTTATTGTTTTGCAATTAGGTTTGATATTTTCTTGATAATAATTGATATAATGCTACAGTTTTAGTGGCGTGTAATCTGCAGTAAGACCGTGTTTGACTTCCAAAAGCAGTCCATCTGTGTGACGTATTGAAAGTGAAACTTTAGTTCAATTTTACCAAAATGAAATGAGAGTGTAATCAGAGAATGAAAACAAATGACAATGATGTTTTTTGTCGTTTTTTTACGTCCTACAAAAATTGAAATATTGTCAGTTGTTAGGGGTTTTTATTGTGTAGCATGGAACCATGCCATGCACTTGCTTGTAAACCACATCATCATCAAGTTTATTAAGATGTGCACCCATCAACAAATTACGATGCTCAAAACTCTTTTCCATTTTTTTGCTGCTGAAACTGACTACTACGACCCAACCTAAGTCCCCTGTCCCTTAAGAAGGAATGTGGTTGGTTCTTTCCAGTCATTTCTCAGAAAAAAAATTACATTACAACGTAAACTAGACTGGGCTCTGAGTAGCAAAAGCTTAGTTGTGCTATTGTATTTTGTATTATTTTAATCTTTTGAGACCGAAATGCAAAGAAAAGCCTGTTCTTTTAAAAAATATATTTATTTTACATTATAATATTTCTTTTCCTACAGAACCCCATGCCGAACAAGGCATGGAAATTTAGGCAGCAGTACAACAGACAGGGAAGAAGATAAAAAGAGACCTCTAGACGCCCAGCTTGACTGAGAGAGCCTGAGCTATACTGTCAGGATGGAATCCTTACCGCAGATCGGACCTCTGCATACGGATGTTGTGATTGTTGGTAGGTGACCTGTAAACTTCTTCTTCTTCTCCTCGATCGCATCACCCTTGAAGTCTGGTATCTGTCATAAAATGGGCCGTCCTGCTCAGTTCATCTGTCGGCCTGTATAGCTTCTCTTGTAGCGTCAGTAGGGTTGGCCACGTTTCCTGTCTCAGGGCCCTGTGTGTCTTGCAGTGCTGAAGGATGTGTTTACCTTTAAACTCAAAACGAAGAGTTTTGAAATTAGAAACACTGTGGGTGATTGGCGGGTGCTCTGGTGTGGTTTGCTTGTTCTTCTTTCCTATCAAACATCTGTCGTCCTTATCTCTCCTCCTTTTTTTTATGTTACTCTCTTGTAACACCTCTAATCTTCGGCACTTAGGTGACCTTATTGTGTTGCAAGTGCCGTAAAACACTTACTAAAACTAAAAAGAAACACAGTAGTGCCTGGAGGTGGCCTCCAGTTTTGTATTGTTTTGTTTTGTCTCACTCTTTCTGTCTGCCCTCTCGTTGAGTGACATTATGATTGTGTCAATATCGTGTTATACACATGTATATATATATAATACTGCTTTTGATTTGAAATGTGAGAAATAAAAGTTATAGGGGCTGTAAATTATGTCAAAAGTAAAATCTGATAGCTAATTTGAGATGCATTTTTTTTAAAATTGATCACGACTTCCACTGTTAAGAGATTTGTCAAGCAGCAGGTGAAATAGCATTAGTTCTTGTTTTTTAAAATACTTCTATATATATAGTATTTGTTGTTGATTCAGATTAATAAATCTATAAGTGGGTGATTAGGCGGGTGCTGTGGTGTAGTGTGCTCCTTCTTTCCTATCAAACATCTATCGTTGTATCTCTCCTCCTTTTTTGTGTATGTTACTCCTTTGTAACACATAATCTATTCTTCGGCACCTTATGTGACCTTGTTGTGTTGCAATTGCAGTAGTAAAACTCTTACTAAAACTAAGATAAATTTATCAACTTCAACTAAAACTTTATATTTTCCTATCAATGTACAGGTAATGGGCCTTCTGCGCTGGCATTGTCCTTTATGCTAGCCGGCCACAGACCTTACTACGACGGTACACCTCTGTCTAACGAATTTCTCAACGACAGATTGGTGAAGGACATGGAAGTTTCCCTCGTTGACAAAGTAAGTAGCCTATTTACACACATCTTTGCAACGTGTATAAAATTTTCAAATTCAGAAATGTATTTTTGAATGTTTTGTGGGTGGTTGGCGGGTGCTCTGGTGTGGTTTGATTCTTCTTTTCTATCAAACATCTATCGGCCTTATATCTCCCCTTCTTTTTTATGTTTGTTACTCTCGTCTTTTGTAACACCTCTAATCTTCTGACGCTCATATGACCTTATGCAGTTGCGAGCTTAATAAAGCCTCTACTAAAGCTAACTTGAATGTTTTCTCATTTTTTAAAGTAAAGACTATTACTTAGAACTGTTATGCTGAAAGTGTTCATCAGTGAAGAAGTTGAAGCTGTTTGCCTCACTACATACTGGTTTGGCAGGTTGAATTAATTACCTCCTTATTGAAGGCAGCCCATCTGTGCTGATGTTGCTTACAAACATCATACCTTTTTTCTTTATCATTTGCCTGGTGTCCGAGAAGTTAGTTCAGGGGGTTTTCGTGGCCTAGAGGTTAAGGTGTTGGCCTCTCATTCAAAGGTCCCGGGTTTGAATCCGGGTAGCGACGGAAAATTTTTCTTCTCTTAAATTGTCTCCTTTCGCCTCCTTTCCTGCTCTCTAGCAATGTTCTGTTGGCCCGGTTTCATTTCCGCTTTCTCCCCTCACCTCCTTTGCCTCCTCCTCTGGGCTCCTCTTTCTGCAGCCTTTCTACTGCTACTCCTTGGCTCGTCCTTACTGCTGTCTTTCTGCCACACCCCTGATCTTCTGGTAGGAAAGGTCTACACCTAGCCTTCTCGGACAAGGGCGAAAAATCTCGGAGGGCCCATATATGTGCAGGTTGCGCATGTTAAAGATCCATTGGTGGTCTAAAATCGATAAGAGTAGGCTTCGGCCGCCACCCTGGCAAAATGTGAATCATGTTCTCACTCACAGGTGTGAACGACAGAAATTATTCCAGGTGCAAGATTTCTAAACTTATGGGGAAGTTACATGGCTATCTTGTACAAAAAGGAAAGATGTAAGGATATATTTACAGATGCAAACTGAATGTTGATGGGAATTTTAATTTCACTCCTGTTGCATCCCTTGCTATTTATTCTTTCTCTTTTTCCTTTTAGCAAAGGAAAGATGTTACAAGGATATAATTACAGATGCATAATGAGTGTTGTGATGGAAATTTTAATTTCACTCATGTTGCATCCCTTGCTATTTATTCTTTCTCTTTTTCCTTTTAGCAAAGGAAAGATGTTACAAGGATATAATTACAGATGCATAATGAGTGTTGTGATGGAAATTTTAATTTCACTCGTGTTGCATCCCTTACTATTTATTTTTTCTGTTTTTCCTTTAAGAGCTATAAACATTTATAAATTTCTTTGTTTTTTCTTCTAGTTATAAACACAAACTTATAAATGTCTTTTTCCTCTCAGGAACTGGAACCATTGTGTGAAGGACTGGAGGGCCGCAGCAACAACCCTGTTGCTTTACTGTTTGACAATTTGTTCCATCCGGACGCGGACTTGGGGTTGGATAACCCGTCTGTGATCGACTGGAAGCACGAAGAGCAGACAGAAATAGACCACGTTGTCTTGGGGAAAACTAAAGCCGGGGGCACGTGGCAGGTAAATACCGTTGTCTGAAGTGCCGGTCTCTCAAAAGTCAGTACATGAGTGCACATTTCAAAGATTTTAAAGATCTTTCATACCAGTGCTTATTGTGGAAGTTTTAGGTACCTATATTTTACACAGGTTTAGGCAACACAGGTTCCCTTGCTGTATGTTCAGGTTGTGAAGTTCCTAGTTGTTTTTTCCAGATTATTTTAGCCTTGTAATAATGATTTTTCTTCTTTCAGTTTGGATAGAATATAATTTGAATTATTGGACTGTTTGTATTGGTGTTTTGTAACTCAGAACATAGTTTTTCCTTTTCTATCTGCTGTGATTAGAGTCACTGATATGTTCTTTTTAGGAAAGCTGTATTTTTATTGTGTTTTCTTTCTTGTCTGATAGAAAGTCTTATGATATCATTCATTGCTTTCAGAAAATTGATGGAACTATGCAAACTATCAGCCAAAACACCTGGATGGAGCTTCCAAATGTTCCCTTCAGAGAATGGATGGCTCAGAATCGGAGGTAAGATTTTTTTAACCCTATCCATACGCCCTGGGGTCATTTTGTACCCCCAGGGTTGTATTCTTGACATTTTAGAATACTTCTAGTACGAAGATCTCTTTGAAACTTTCAATTTTTCTCAAAAATCATTTTGACAGACTGCTATACAAAGCGTACGGATCGGATTAACGAGTAAATTTCCTCTTTGGAAAGTGATGGCACAGAGTTCCCCACATCGTATGGATACGATAGTAAAACACGATGTATGGACAGGGTTAAACAGAAAGCTTCTTTTCCATTTTAATTTGCATTCTCTAATGTGCTAGTATGGGCCAAGAATTAGACGGGGTACTGTCTCGTGTGAGGAAAGCACGGTGTATCTATAGCCTGCTGAGCCTCCGTGGTTTTTGTCCTTCTTCATGTGCAATGATTCTGCTTCTTTCCCCTTCTTTATCTTTGCTCTGCTCAGCACTGCAAAGCCAATATCAGTACTTTCTCAATATATATATATGTGGAGCGACTCGGTGTAATCAGGCGCTCATCGATTTTCGGATAGTGGGAGTTATTGGTACCATCTTAAAGGTTGTTCATTTGTCTTGCTTTCGATGAAAACAATATCCTTTTAACTTGGATACAAGTCGAGATATTGTCAATTGAAGGAGGTCGGGGTCACCTGTTTTCACAGGTAAAATTTGCAAGAAAATGGCCGCCAAAGTTTAGTTTCCTTTGCTTGTGAGTCCCCGGAAACTAAAAATTTACATTTTTTGTGCCTTTAATCAATGTTTTTCAATAAAATCCACACAGAAATGTGTTCTTTAATGGACATAGAAGGCGTTGAGCGAAAAAGCAAAAATTCAACAATTCCAAAACCTGCAGAAAAATACCAGTTTCTTCACTTTCATTATTTTGACGAGCGCCTGATTTCACCAGAGTGCCTCACATATATATTGTTTTTAGTCTTGATAGAAAAGATTCTATGTCAACAGGGGTGAGAAGACAGGTGGCAAGTTTTGCTTGTCATGCACTAATATAATATGAACAATGGGGTTAGTTTTTGGCGACAGATTCACAATTTAAAATAAATACAAAATGTATGAACTCTTTTTTTTTATCCTTTTTTGGGGGTTTTTTTGTTCATGAGTCTACCTTCTGTTAATGTAATCAATAATGAGTCTAATGTTTAGGCAAGTCTTTTCAATTATTTATTTTTTTCCTTTTGTAATTTTCAGTAAAGACTCAGATATTAAAGTTTCCACTTAATAACCAACTTAAAAGAAATGAACTGGGCTTTTTTTAAGAAATTGTGTTAACTTTTTTGTTTGCCTATTTCAGGAACTCGGGGGTAGGTGAACCTATGTACGGGCGTGCCACCATTGGAGACGTGAAGGATTACTACTTGGACTACGTCAAGTCCCAGGGACTGCAGCGTTACTTCAAAGACAACTACACCGTGACGTCTGTGCAGAGGGTGTACCATCTACGAAATGCTGTCGACAGCGAGAGTGGAGAGGTGGAGCCGTGCTGTCGCAACGTCCGCAGAAACCACACCCACTGCTGGGAGGTGCGCGGCTACCATTCGGTCTTCGATGACCAAGGGCAGGCCATTTCGCGCCAAGACTTCTGCTATTTAGCCCCTCACGTTGTGCTTGCCGCAGGTGCCTACGACATTCCAAATCGACTTGGGGTGGAGGGGGAGAACCGTCCTTTCGTCACTCATAGCCTCGGGGACTTTGAGAAGCATTTATCGTCGTCTGCACTCAACACCCTGTCCGACCCCGTTCTAGTGGTCGGTGCGGGTCTCAGCGCGGCCGATGCCATCCTCATGGCCATGGAGTCGAACGTCCCGGTGATTCATGTGTTCCGTCGCGGCCCCTCCGACCCGTCCCTCATCTTCTCCAAACTGCCCAGCACCATGTACCCGGAGTACCACCGCATCCACTCGCTCATGAAGGGCAAGGAGACGAGCGAGCTCTACCGGCCCATGGCACGCCACAACGTCATCGAGATCCTGGACCATAAAGTCCTGGTGGGCACCAAGAAACAGGACCAGATGGCCACCTTCGACATCTCATTCGCCGCCATCATGATCGGGTCCCGGGCCGACCTCGGCTTTCTCCCTCGTGAAGGCCGGCATCTGGGCGTGGTGCCCAAGTGGCCGATCGACAGCAAGCACAACCCCATCGATGTGGACGTTTATTCGTACCAGTCCGCCCATGAGCCCCAAATGTTTGCCATGGGGCCCTTGGTCGGAGACAGTTTTGTTCGGTTTGGGATCGGAGGCGCCTTGGGCATTGTGAATCATCTGAGAAAGTGTCACAAAAAGGAGAATTTGTAGTAGAAGGAAGAAAGACTTCTGTCATGATCTCATCCTGTTTACTGTGCGGCCCAGGTCTGTTCTACCTTATTGTACGTGCCCTATGGGTGCAGTTAGAAATAGAACCAAAGAGTTGTCTGTTGAACCGTTTACTGCTTTGAATACTGCCAGTATATATGTACTAAAGTTTAACCATCATTTGTATTCTGTAAGTTCATTGATTCGGGTGAATGTTTTTGAAGCCTCAGTGTCAGATTAATTTAGATGTATCTAGACGCAGACTTGTTAGAAAGATACTCTAAAAAGTCATTGTAGTCTGATCTGAGAGCTGAATCAATATGTTCACTTTTGCACAGTTTCATATAATTCGGTATGTTCACCTCACTTTGGCCCATTTTGTTCTCGCTGAAGTCGCTGAAGTGTACTTTAACATGAAAAAACCCCCCGCCAGATCCCACAGCGATTGTGGAAGTGCCTAATTCTAATTTATGATAGCTCACTGCGTTTTTAAAGTATCTTGTAAACACTAACAGTAACATAAATTATTTTTTCTCTCTCAGAATTGGCATGCTGGTTCTCATCTATCTATGACCACAAATCCAGATCACAAGTTATTGTTCCGGTATTAATTCAAAAAGGCAGTTCCCATTGCTTGGACACACTTTTGCTAACATGGGAAAGTTGAGTGATTTGCACCCAAGTTGTGTTTGCTGCTCTGTGGGGCTCTGGACCTCACTGTTTGTTTGTAGAACGAAATATATATATGTTCTAAATGTAACAAAGAGAAGTTGAACATTTTCATTCATTGTGACATCTCATTGATATTGATATTTCTTTTTTAATGTCTGAAGTTAAGGGGAGGGGGGTGGGTTTAATATGATCTTCTTTTGAAATTTGAGCAGTGTGAATCATTTTCTTATGTGTGAACAGTACACAGGATTTGCGGCTCAACTCTAAATGTTTTGAACTGTTTTCAGTTCTTTGCATGATAGCATTCCATAAAGGCTGTATGATGTTACTGTTGCAGAGATAGTGTTTAGTATCAGCAAATGATTCTGTGGTGAAGTGAAGAAGACTTTCAATAGGTCTGTAATGATGTTGCACCACTTTAAGGACATAATGATATGATAATGGCTTATGGTTGCACAAATGGCTTATATTATAATGGTTAGACAAATGAAGTGATCGGGGAAGCCTTTGCTTCTCTGTTATTTTGTTGTCAATGTTTGACTTGCTTTGAGCAGCTCAGTGAATTTTTGGAAGTTTTTCCTAGTGTCATCACAAACTTGACATTTGATGACTGGTTTTTGAAAGGAATGAAAATTAAACAAACCCCCAGTGCTCAATCAATTCTTCAACATATTATTAAACATACCTGCAGACTTCAACAAAAGTTAAGGACCACTTGCAAACACTCTGAGTGGTCTTCTCGGGTCGACCTGCATGTGGGCGCTCTTGGGTGAATCCAGTGGCGTGATGGCGCTGCCTCAGGCAGACAATGACAAAGTGTGACACTGCAAGCCTTCTGGCAACTTCTCGGGCTCCAACTCCATCCTGCAGCCATGCCATAGCTCTGGCACGATCAAAGTCTCTCAGCTTTTGTTTTGGTGGTATGTTGAGGCGATACCGGATTTTGTGCAAACGGCGGCTTATATTGCCGCCAAAGTGAGCACAGTTCGAGACCACATGTCCCGTTTATGACGTGCACTAGAAATTTTAACTGAGGAATGTCCGTGGTGTCTAACACAAGTCGATAAAAAACCGCAAATGTGGCTAAAATTCCCCGAGCATTTGCGTGCAGCACGTGGTGGTTTTGCCCCTTTAGGAAGCTTTGCAGTACGCATTGGTAACCCATCCACACTTTCAGAGCAAAAAAAATTGAAACATTCCTTGCCGTCTATTTTTCGCATTTGTAAAAAAATCAAGGCTGTCTGTCAAGGTGGTCCTTTACTTTTGTTGAAGTCTGTATTTTTGTGCCATTGTTAATTATCATTGTGAGAAATCTGCGTCTTTTAAGTACCCATTTTTTGTTTGTCCCACCTCTTTTGAAGACTCTCATTTTCAGTTGTCAAGATTTCTTTTCAAGATCAGATCTGTGCAGCTCGTTGTTTGAACTTGCACGTTGGTCCAGACCAAGTCTCGCCCTATTGGAGACAAACATGAATGCTTTGCTTTGACATGTGACGTGCCCCAACTTATGTTGTTCTAGGGTGAGACAAACATCTATGCTTTGCTTTGACACCATGTGACGTGCCCCAACTTATTTTGTTCCAGAGAAAATCAAAATGGTGTGGTTGAGCGTAGCTCATCATGTTTGATTGTGTTCGTTTTTAATGTTATTTTTTTTATACCCAATTTTGTTTGATGCTGTTTTTCTTTGGTTGTGCGCAGAGTCTTTCTGTCTTTCTGTCTGGGACTAGGGGGGGGGGGGGGGGGGGGGGGATAATGATTGTCTAGACATTATTGCTTTGTAGTTTTGTGTCATGTGCACCAAGCACGCTGTTGCAATGAATCAGAGGCTGCTTGGGTATTTATTTTCTCTTTTTTTTTTCTTTTTTTTTCTTTTTTTTACTTGTAAGTTTGTGCGAGATCAGTGTTCATTTCTTTTGTTCTATGTTCCGTTGTCCTGCTGCTTTCTTGTCATGTGTGCATCCTATACTGTGGCCCAGGGATCCTTTTACAAAAGTCTGTGCACACACAGATGTTGGACCAGTGGGTGGTTGGCGGGTGTTCTTGTGTGGTTTGCTTGTTCTTCTTTCCTATCAAACATCTATCGTTCTTATACATCTCTCCTCCTTCTTTTTTTTGTTTTTTGTTTCTCTCTTGTAGCACCTCATCTTCAGCACTTATATATGACCTAAATTATGTTGCAAGTGCCGTAAAACCCTTACTGAAACAACAGAGATGTTGGACCTAGACTGACTGCTTTGTTACAATAACTCTCCACCCTGCCAAACTGAGGTTGATTGGATATAATGGTTTGGGGGGGGGAGGGGGAGAGGTGCAGTTTGAATGGTCAGCGAACATTCTGGTTGAGAAATTATACTTAATTCTACATGTTAATTTATTATTATACATACATTTGTTTGTCATTACTAAGGATGGGGAGGAGTTGGAAGAATTCATCTTTGACTTTTCCTTTATTACTTTTAATGAGTTTGTCCAGTTTTTCATTGTGTGTCTCCACAGTTGTAAATCTTTCCTCTTTCTGGGATCATCTTGTGGGGTATTTCTTTACTTTACTGTTTCCCCCTTGTTACGGCAGCTGATTGCTTCTATGGCTATGCTGAAATTTAAAAAACCAAGATTCTCGGCGACCACAAAAAGGAACTTCAACTGTGGAGGATTTTTTATTTTGTCCAAATGGGAAATAAAGTTCTTTCTGCTGCTTTGCGTCTTTCCAGTATTGTTATGGCGGAAATGTGTCAATCATTTTGTAAAAGTGTAAAATGAGACAATATTGTTGATGGCCTGTGCTTCACTGGGAGTTAAAAAGGGCAACAGAGAGAGAGAGTAAAATGAGAGATTTTTTAATTATTATTTTTTTTTGGGGGGGGGGGAGGGGGGGTTGCATTGTGACTCCTCTGTATTTATATGTGATGATCAAGAGTTTGCACTCTTTATAATTCATTATAATGAAGACTGTCATTCACCAATAAAGCTAAAACATGACTGTTCATTTATTTTGGGGGTCATGTATAACTGGTTGCTCCTTAAGGCCTTTAACTTTAAAGCTCAAATGAGGAAAGGCATAGGGGTTGTAGGTCGTGGACTCTCAGGTTTTCTGGTCATCTGTCCCATTGTGTTTTTTGGGGGGGGGGGGGCAAATTGTTGGAAAGGACCCAAGAACGTCAAAGAAACTTTTTTTTGTCCTGTAGCACTTTTATCATGAGGGGAATTTAGTTCGATATATCTAGAATTTGACAGAGAGCCCTGAAGTCAGTTTTCTCAGTTTGATTTTCCTGCTTGCTTTTGGGGCTGTTTCATGTTTTTGGTTCATGACACAGACTTTTGCTCTACCTCATCATACTACGCTAAATGTTTGTGAGTTATAATGGATATGTTTGATGATGAACTGAGGGGAGTTTGGTCTGTCTTACTTACTCACTTGGTTGGAGAATAGGCATCATTGCAGGCGGCACAATGCCATAGCTGCTCCTCCTTCTGTCTGGTCGTCAGTGTCACTTTTTTTGCTTTCTCCTTCTCAAGTCACACATCTCTGACTGGACTTAACCCTTCCAGCCCCAGCCATTTTTGTGACTCCCTAACCCCAGTTCCATCCAATACAGCAGTATTTCAGAAAAAGAAGCATGCGTTCTAAAAAGTAATGTAGTATCTTTGTAATGAGGTTTAGATAATAACATATATAACAAAGTTTAAAAGTAAATGAACACGTATATTGAAAAATAGTTTAATTAAGTTTGCTCATTTTGAAAAATACGCAAATTCGGTACCCCAAAACTGAGAATATACGCTCTTGGGATGGTGGGAGGTACAAGCACTGCAGAAAATATAGGCGCATGGGGCTGGGAGGGTTAATGGGTGGTTGGCAGGTGCTCTGGTGTGGTTTGCTCCTTCTTTCATTATGTCAAACATCTATCGTCATTATCTCTCCTCCATCTTTTTTGTGTATGTTACTCTCTTGTAACACATCTATTTTTCGGCACTTATATGACCGTATTGTGTTGCAAGTTGCAAACTTTATTTTTTGATTCGCTGATTTTAGTATAAAACTATTTAAGTCGCTATAAAAGCCCGTACCAAATCAGAAAAGAATGTTTTGAGAATCTTGGCTGAATCTTGCAGAAGGATACAATGTGCAGAATTATATGTGACAACAACAACACTTTAATGACCTGATCATTGTTGTTTAGACAAAAATCTAAATCTTCTCCTCTTTTTGCAGTCACAGAATGCTGTACGCAGTGCTCATTGCCTATCAAATTCATTTGATTGAATCGGGTCCAGCCAGATTTTCCTCCATGGAGAGGCAAAAGCTGTTATCTGTTTTAGCACAATTCGACCAAGTTTTATTGTGACCTTCAAAATCAAAAGCGTCTGGGCGGTTTTTTCTTTCAGGGTCGTAGGTCAATCGGTCGTATTGTACCAAAGTGGTAGATTTTGCCCACTCCGGTGAGAAAAATCTGGCAGGCCCCGACTCAATTCGACTGAATTCGACTGGGCCTTGTGCACTGGGTAATGGAGGGCATAATTTGTACAAATTATATAAATTTTTATAGTTGTGAAGCCTACAGACAAAATGAGTTACTTCTCGGATTCGAGCCCTGTGGAAATACATACATCACACTTATAAGTGAATTTTTTGCAATTTATATAATAAAAGGCATGTTATACATAAAGAATATCGCATCAATAGAAAATTACTAATTTGATCCTAGTGTCGATTTTTGGCCAAGATCTCCTTTTGTAGATTGCAAGAAGTAACTCGTTTTGTCAGCACGCCTCATAGTTGGTCTTGATGTCCCCTTGTCAGAATTTGGTGGGGGGTTGATAGCCGATGACAATCTGCTTAGTTTGTTGGGCTGTCACTCAGATTGTTGGAGTTGGGAGCTCTGTTTACTGTACTTTATCTAACCAAAGATAGTACATAACAAGATGGGCCACTCAGCCCAAAAAGTGTCCGCAGGAAGTTTGCTCTTTGCTTCAGATGGCGCTGCAGTCTGTTTTGAAGCTCTCTTTCGTTTTACCAGAAGAAGAATAGGAATAGCACCTCCTTGCGTGCGCAGATCGACTGCTGTTCATCAACAGTTTGG